TACCAGTTTGAAAATACTGGTCAATATTTTGACCATTAAAAAAGTTCTGGTTGATAATCTGGCCATTAAAAAAATAGTGGCCATTACAATGGCCAGAAGTGACTTTTTGAAGGGGTCTGAGGGGTGAAAAAAACAGAGTTAAAGTGAAATGAAAAATTATTATAACCTCCTCACTAACCTAAAAGCACAAATAAATATTCAAAAGTTGTGAAAATTTTAACTTTCCGAAACGCGACGGAATTTCCGAAAGTAATCCGGACGCTGTTTAAACTAATCTACATATTAATGGAAAAAAACAATTCCTTCTATAAAAAGAAAGATGTACATTATTCCCAAATTTGTTGTCTAATTTCAAATAATAAACCCCTGTTAAATAACCATTAATTTTATATTTTTTGATTAAGATCTATATCTAATGGAATATCTTATCTAAAATTGAAAAAGAAATTACAAAAAAATACACAAAAAATGCAAAATGTTTCACCCAAATTTTGTTCACGTAATGACCTCATTTTAAGTCAATGTGAACGGAGCATGTGTGCTATAATGAAAAGTTTACAAGTAACCTATAAATATTGCTAGTTAAACAAATATTCTTAGCAACATAGAGTCACTAATGACGTGAAAGTGACATTTATTCTCTGTTCCATTTCACAAGTACACATTTGTGGGACCATCTGTTTTATTGCTCACATCTCACAGTGTCAATAATTCTGATCTGGATGTTCAATGTGTACAATACTCCACAGTCAACCTTATGTTTAATCCTTCAATGTCACATATTCTAGCACTATTTTTGAGGGAGGGAGGGGCATTGTGGTCTTTAAAACTGTAGACTACAATGTTTGTTACTGGGTAAACTGTTTTTGAATCACAACCACTGGCGTTTTTTTTTAAGTATCCATGAGAAAAAGGGGACTTGTGGATTGATCTCCACGAATGTGTGCATCCTCACCATGCATTGCCCAATCACATTCAAACTACACACATAGGACATACATCTTCAGAGACATGTGCTTGTTAGTCCCCGTTTTGACGCAGTCCGAAAACGGGGACTCATGTTTTGACCTCCGTGTGTCCATGCGTACGTCTGTGCGTGCGTCCGGACCTGTATCTTAGAAATGCCTGGACCAATCACAATCAAACTTCACATGTACATCATACATGATATTATACATATGCACGTCAATTTTTTTCACGATCTGATTCAAGATGGCCGAATGGCGGCCATTTTTGTACTAAAAAATCCTAAACCTAAAATTAAATCCTAATCAAGCATTTCTCGGCTGTTTACAGATGGATTTTGTTCAAACTTGGTATATACATTAGACATCATAGGACCTTGATGCAAATAATTTTGTTTTTCAGATAAGATTCAAAATGGCCGACTGGTGGCCATTTTGTTTTAATGAATGTGGTTCTCGTGCCATATCTCATTATACATCATGTCATAGATAGACAGATATATTGGTTTGACGAGCCTATTCAAAATGGCCAAATGGTGGTCATTTCTGTGCTAAAAAATCATCAAATATCAAGCATTTCTGGCATTTATGGATGGATTTCGTTCAAAGTTGGTACATACATTAGACATAACTGGTTCCTGATGCACGTCATTTTATTTTTCAGATTGGATTCAAAATGGCTGACTGGCGACCAATTTGTTTTAATGATTGAGCTTCTAGAGCCATACATGTATCTCTTAAATGCTTGACTGATTATATTCAAATTTTATATATTCATTATACATCATGTTATATATATATACATGTATTCAAAATGGCTGATTTTGAATGCTGTTCCAGAGCAATATCTCTCAATATGGACAAGTACTTGTTTGACGATCAGATACAAATGTCAATCATTTTAATGTTAAAAAAATCATATTCCTGACATGGTTATATTCCAGCTATATTACTATAAACAAAACTATATATCTTAAATTTGATAACTAACGGGGACTGTGCCATGCATGGCTTGTTCATTCATTTCTTGATCTGATTCAAGAATCCTGAATGATGATTATTTTTATGTTAAGAAACCAAGCATTTCTTGAACCAATATCTTTGAACTCTCTTGACCAATCATGCTCAGAATTTATATACATTTCATACAAGGTTTTCTTCTAACATTACACTAAACTGAATATGTGTGAAAATCTTTATGAAACTTTGAACTTTTGTTAGTTCTCGTCGGACGAAGTCCTAAACAGGGACTTGTGTTTTGACTTGTGTTTTGGGTTTGTTCCATCCATCGGTCCTTCTGTCTGTGTGTCACTGTGTTTGTTTGCCTGACATCATTTCCCGGACATGCCTGGACTGATGTTGTTCAGAGTTGGAACAAATGTATTAGTCTTAAAGGGAGACATATATATGATCAGGATTCTGCATAATGAATTAGTTATTCAAGAAAATGTAAAATCTAGAGACATCGATATTTATAGGTGCAATATCTGGTTCAAGAACATGTATGACAACAAGTATTGCAGTTGTAGCTACATTTCATCTTCTATTTGACAAGTTATATATCCTATATGACTCGCGATGTGTCCCATAGGACTGTTTCCACATCCTGTTTAGCACTATTATAATATTATTATAGTATTTATTCTGTATGTCCTAAAAAGTGCACTATTTGTCCTATAACACTGTTTTCATGACCTATGACCTATATGACTTGTGCCATGATACCATATATGACTTAATAGTCACAAATATAATGAACATCAGAATGTAAAGAAGTTTGAAAATCAGAAAATTCAATTTAACTCATGAATTTTCATCTTGTATCATTTTTGTTTTTGTATTTCTGTAATTTATTTCAGAAACCTTAAGAAATGTAAGATTTTAACACTTTTATACATTCCTATAAAACTCTTTAAAAGGCTGTAGGACATTGATTTCTTTTCTATACTGCTTGTAAAAACATTGTTATAAACTTATTAAAAAGTGAATTCAATGAACTAATTAAAAAGTTGCCTTATATCGTTTGATTACGAAATCTTACTAAAAATAGAACTGAAGTAATCATAGAATGTGGTACAGTGCATAAAATAGATTAAATGAATGAATGAATGAATGATAAATGATAAATGTGTTAAGCTCATGAATTAAAATACCCAGAATTTATTCATTTTGTAATAAAATGTACTCCAAGGCAATATAAGGATATTGACCTAAAAAAACATTGGGGGGTCACAAGCCTTTTTTTTTTCAAAAAATTGATGGTGTGTATTTTAGCCATTTTGACACTATTATAACACAGGTTGCTATGGCAGAGATATTATGCAATATCTCAAAAGCTAGCCTGGTGACAATAATATATCGTTAATGATGGAGTACTTTTTGTTGTTCTGAATTATTTAAACAATCTGGGTTTTAAAAAGTGTCAAAAAATGCAATTTTTCTTTAACATTGTGTTCTATGGAATTGTTCTAAAAATACCAATTTTGAAGAAATATTAGGACACATTTCTCAAAAAGCTTAACTGTAACCACAAAATAATGCTATTTAATTGTACCATGGGACATTAGCTTCATGATTGTACATAATAAACTAATGAACATTCTCATGCAATTTATGACCAATTTTGTCAAAAATTATGACTAGGCTTCTACCTTAAGACAATAATATATTTTTAAACCCAACTGCATTGTATTTGAGATTTTTGAAGATTTGTTGTGAATACCAAGGAAGTTTATTGTCTGAACAATGCTCTTAAGAAATTATTTTGGACAAACAGTATTGTGTTCAAATGATTATTAAACATTCATTATATTTGCAAACTTAAATTGTTTCACTTTGTTTACAGTTGGGAGGAAAAAGCATTGATGAAAAAACAGATAACAAAAAGATAGATGTGGATGAGAGAAAAGAAACAGAGGTTGCCCAGGGTAACACTTCATCACAGAAATTAGAAATGGATCACCGTCCTATAGACTCTTCGTTTGAAGACCGACCGCCGACTCCTGGAGCTATGTTGCCTGACACATTAGGGGATTCATTCAAGCCAGGTACATGTACTGTAAAATGCATCTTTTTGGCCAGCTTGTCTGATTACTTCAAGATGTAGGTACACAGTCTTTTGTCTGACCATAATCCAGTTTTCCAACCATTAACCCTCTGGTCTTTTTCATCTAGTCTTCGTAGGATGTAGTCATAATTTGTCATAATTGTTTCCCTTGAGTACCTTCAAAAACCCATTAGGAAACATGGGGCAATTCAGTACTGCTCAATAAATCAATAAATGCTTAGGAGCCAGCCACTAAGTATGTTCGGGGGGGGGGGGGGGGGTCAGTTTGACACTACATTTTTTCCGCCTTCATTAAATTTGTTTTTGTTCAGGGTGATGAGTATTTAGCAACTGTTTTTCTTTATTTGACACCCCCCCTGCATTTATTTAATGGTCAACCCCCTCATCAATGTGTTGACCTTGCTTGGATGCCATTTACATTGTTCTCATTCAAATGACAAGCTTGCACAGATCCAATTAGTTTTGACTAAAAATATGTGCATATTAATTACCTAATTTGCATAATAATTCATATTTTTTCTGTTTTTCCATTAACATCTCAAGTTCTAATCACATTTCAATGAAACTTTGTATATTTATGGTCTGTGGCATTGCGCAGAACTTTTTTAGTTTTCCATCAAAATCTGTAGATATCAATTACCTGTTTTGCATAATAATTAGTTTTCAGCTTTTCCATCAATATCTTTTTTTCAATGAATCTTGGTATGTAAATACACTTTGTACGTAAATACAACGACAATGCATTAGTTTAGGATTGAAATTCGAACATACAAATTGCAGAATATGCACAATGTGCATAATCATCCCATTTGACTGTAATTTAGTTTATACAGACGTGATTAGTTTAATAATGAAAAACATGCATATTGACTATCTAATTATTATTGATTTGAAACATATTGAAAATCTGAAAACCACAGATGTAAAATCAAATGTATTTTCTGTAAGTGAAATTCAATAATGTGGAGCAAATTGTAGCAGACAAATATTAGTTGCCAAGCTTCTTGTTTGAATAATTAATTAATTGTTAATGTGTCTCCAATACACTCATCAAACAGGAGTCCTTTCTAAGCTTTCTTTGATATTTATTTTCATGACAAGTACATTTTCTCAACTTGCAATGAAACAGCCATAAACAAGACTCTGTAGATGACATTGACATTGAATTGTTTTCTGACCCATTGTCTTTTTATTTCTCCTCCCAGCAACTCCTAAAATGGAAGAAACACTAAGTTCAAGAAGCAATACTCCCTCCCCGATTCTGAAGAATCCGACACCTCTCACTGGTCTGACTGGTGGGGGCAATAGTACACCATATCATCTAAGATGCATTCTACCATACCCCCTATGCATACTCATATCAAGCGAGAGAGACCTCTTCATGGAGCAAGTGGCACTGATAAATTGCATAAAATCAAGAAGAAGAAAAAGAAGAACAAACACAAGCATAAACACAAACATGGCAAACATGACCACCATGATAAACATAAAAAACATCATGGTGGGTCTGCAGGTGGTTCATCCAGTCAATTTCATAAAGGATCATCATCAGAGAGGAAGTAGTTGCTATGCCAACATTAAGGTAGAGATGCAGTTTACCTGACAGATATTTTAATTAGTTAATTAGGAAACCAAGATGACCACCCTTATCC